ATCACCAAGTGATCATCTTCAATAAGAAGAATAATCTTTGATTTTTTCATACCTTTTCATGATCAGTGTAACAAAAAAATGAAAGATGATGGTACGAATAAAATTATGTTGGAGCCTACAAACTACAAACATTTTACTTTCGATACCTTTTCATTCATTCAAATTCATTTACCACTTTTAAATTCAGACCATGTTCAAATGTTAGACACAATGGAAAGTAAGAGTGAGTCTCAAATTGAAAAAATTCATCGAATCGTCTTTAATTTACCAATACATCAATCAGTGTTGATATACATATTGTTACCCAATATTGTTTCGTGGTATATGTCGAAACTTTCAAATATTTTTGGGACCGGTTTTTGATGTAATGGTGGATTGGAAGTAGGCCTGTAGGTCAAAAAATGGAATTTTGTTATATAATCAACAGATTACATACTGTTGTTTACATTTCAGGTTAAGAGTCTTCGCATCTACACTGAAGAGAATGTAACTGATATTACGTATAATCATGACATTAACATTCTCAGTGGTTCAGTCCCAGGTCACTGTTTATTTTGATGAAATTATTTGTTGAATTATTTAGATTGAAAACGAATTTTCAAGAGCATCTACAGCCAAAAAAATATTATTGAATAATGTGTATAAGGTGTTCAACTCTAAGGGATTTATCATTTACACGAGGAATTACTCATTTTTCAAACATTTTTAGGTCGTGAAGAATTTCAATTGAAGTTATTTGTGATATTGAAGACAAAGAATGATGTAGGTCCTATGTAGGAAAATATCTATTTTAAGGTAGGGGTATGTGAACCGAGTAGGTACTTATCATCCTTCAAGCTGAAATATATGGTTTTAGAACAGAATTATGAATAGAAATAGACCGCAAAGTTTCAAATACTGGAAATGTCAACAAGGTAAAAAACAACAAAGATACTTCTGGAAAAATACTGCAAATGCAATAAGCATATATACAGACGGCGCAAAAACCAAAGAAGGCTCAGGATGTAGCGATCATCCAGATCATTTAGCCTAAAGATTGAGTGGGGAATGGGAAAAAATACCAGCGTGGTCCAAACAGAACTGGCTGGTATCTCAATCGCCACAAAAGAAATAACCAAGAAAGGAATTTCTGGCAAAAACATAACAATCTGCACTGATAGCAGACAAGCCCTATTAGCCTTGAACAGACGTGTCACCTCAGGGCGACTCTGGGAAGCTGGCGCCGAAAAAATATCCGGCGATGATCAGGAAACATCTACGCGTAACAGTAGGATTTCTGACTAGCCACAGTCAACTAAGGAAACACCTACATAATATGGGGCTAGTGGACACACCTGTATGCAGGATGTGTGAACAGGAAGATGATACTGTCAGGCATGTCCTATGCGAGTGCCCGGAGTTATCATCAATAAGAGAGCGTGTGTTCGGCGAGTCTTGGCCTACACCTGCCGATATAAAGGAGATGTCTCCTAGTGTCCCGTCCATCTTCCTGGAAAGGACAGGATGGACGATGACCTAGGAGGACAACTCCTCGGGAGGATGTAAAATGGGTCACATGTGACCTAAGTGCTGTGGGCTTACACTAAGCCTCCCTACTCTACAGATATAGATACTACGACAAAAACTATCTGACGATTGCATACGTACGAAGAAAACCTATCTCCGTCTACTTTAAGGGTTCCCTGATAACTGATATCCAAAAAAAAATGACAGATAGATTTTGAAAATTCTCTTTTCTGCTACTTTGGACTGTTCCACTTTGAGTAAAACTGGGCTAGACAGGAAGTGTTTGAGATGAAAGTTCAAATTTTTGAGGACATAAAATATTCGGGCAGGTCTAAGCGTTCAATCTGTGGAAAATCTTGGACAAAAATAATTACACCCCCAAAGTACCATGAAAGTGTTTTCAATTCAGGCGATATGAAAATAATGGGGGCAGAGCTTTTTATCACTATTCATCGTGGCATCTAAAACTAGCTATTAGTCGGTCCATTTACCAAGTGATAACATGTAGAGTAGGCGGAGTCTCATTGGAGTCTCATTCTCGATTTCTTTTTGAAGTTATACATAGAGTAATCCCAGAATTCATTGGTATTGATGTTATCTTCTTTTGAAGAGACGTAAAAGAAACTTCGTGTAAATAGGGCAGTAGAGTGTTTAGGTACAACTAGTATGTTGTATTTTTTTGGTATTCACATGACTCAGGCTATACATTAGCCTTCTGAGTAGGATGACCAGTAGTAAAAACTTTGTCAATAAGAGTGAGGAGATAAAGTTTACGTACTTTTTCGAGGTTGAGCCATCATGAATCTGCATAATTCCAGCTTAAGCTTAGTGGGTAGGATATATTCAGATTGGGGTATAGCTCCCGTAGTACGTATGATGTTTTACAAAGGTGAATAATATGTTTAATGAATGGTTGGAATTGATCCATAATCCCATGTTTTCAGAGATTTCAACGACTTCGAACGCAGTTGAAGCTAATTATATGTTGAAGTTATCGCATATTTGCTCACGCTTTTACTTGAGACCAAGAAGCATTGTACCTGATTGTGATAAATTAAGTTTGAGGTTATACGCTGCAGAGAATGATTCAAGATCTTTTTTGATGTTACTGAGGGTCCGAGTGATATTTTCAGCTGTAAAACCTGTATGTATGTGCATGCCGTCAGGATAGTGGTGGATTGTACAATTTTCCACTTTGGTAAAAATTCGCTATATAGAGTGAGAACAGTAGTCCTCGTAGATCTCCATAAGTTACTGGCCTAGCATCAGATATAGATGTTCCGAGTGATAACTAACTGGATGCGTTATGTGAGGTAGTCTTCAATTAGTTTGGCTGAATCCTCAGAAAATCCATTGTGTAATAGCTTTTTGCATAGAATATCATAGTCAATTGTATCGAATGCTTTGCTATAATCGGGGTAAAACAAAGGTTCGAGCTGGAGAGATGAATGTTTTGGGAGTCTATTTTTTATACGTATATATCTCTCCTTGATACATGTTTCAGACTCATCAATAGCTGGATCAATAGAGAATCTGCTGAAGTGTTTTGAAGGGTGAACTGAAATGTTTACCACAAAAAGTTACTGCATGATAATTACCACTAGAGAGTTCAATTAGATCTTGCTCACGAAATGATCTTACTAATGATTAGTAACTTTTGAGGACACAGGGATTCAGTGACAAAGAGGATGTTGAATTATTAGGATGATGTGCTCAGGTGCTTGTGATCGTGGATTGTATTATTGTGAATATTGCAAAAAAATCATTCAATATATGCTGTGGTCTCATTTATGTCACTAGTATTTCTAATCAGATATTGAAACTACCAAAAAAATTGAAGTAGATTTCACCTGTGATATACAACCATGATTTCAATTGTGGTTCATTATCAAGAATTAGTGGTATTTCACTGAAGCCGATACCTAATAAAAGCTCAATTGAACAGATAACCAAGGTTGAATAACTATAGACCAGTTGGTTTGCTATTAGAGGAAGCCGTAAACCACCATATCCTCATATTTTGAGCAATCATCAATATGGATTTCAAAAGCAAAGATCAACAAGCTACCTTCTAAAGTACGTCACCCATATTTGTAATAACGCAATCGAAAAACATAGAGAATCAAGAGCTGTTGCGCTTGATATTCCTAAGACCTTTGACCGTGTGTGGCATGAGGATTTTTTGTTGATCAAACTTCGAAGCTATGGCTTTTCCGATCAATTGTGTGTATGGCTCTCCAGCTTCCTGAAATAACGTTTCCTGCAAGAGACCGTCGATGGATATCTCCCGAATACTTTCACCATCAATGCTGGTGTTCCCCAGGGATCCATATTGTCTCCAGCCCTCTTTTTATTGTATATCAACGATTCATTGGAAAAAAAGAAGAATCCAATACATTGCTCGGCTGACGACAGCAAACTCGTCATTCCATTTGGATTCCAGGACGTCGGCTGTGGATGCACATCTTCACCGGTTGCATATCTTAATGAGGATCTTAACGTGTTTTCAAATTTGGGTGAAAGTAACCAGGTTCTGTTCAATAACACGAAAACCCAGGCATCGGTTTTCTCCAAAAAGATAGATGTCTCTGAAGCGGATATAATAATGTCAGGACAGACAATTCTGCTTCCTGCTTCGACGAGTTTGTTTGGGATTAAAATGGACACCAATATGTCTTGGCATCATCATATCGCTGGAATTGCAAAGGCTGCTTCTCAAAAGCTTGGAACACTGTTCCGAACCAGAAAAATGTACATACCTCAGCAACTGTTGATGCTTTATTGAGCTCAGATCATACCTTCTTTGGAGTATTGTTCTCATGTATGGAGCTCCGCCCCTAAGCATTCCCTGAAGCTGCTGGATTCCTTTCAGAAGAAAGCCATCTGCCTGATTGGAGACACGAGTATCACTTGCAACCTTGATAGTCTAGAACATCGAAGAAAGGTTGCAGATTTGTCTCTCTTCTATAAACACTTTCATTGGAGGTGTTCAAGTGACTTGGCACATTTGATTCCACTAATAGCCTTATATATCAGAAATACGCGACGAGCTGCTCTTTGAGGTTCAACTCAGAACGCCTCGAACTTCACTGTTTAAGAACTCTTTCATTTGGAGAACTGCGTTTACGTGGAATAAACCTTCTGAGAACGTTTTTCCAAATGAATTCAACGTCCAGCGATTCAAATCCAACTTGAATCCTTACCTTCGCACAGGCACCGCTCTTAGAGGGCCTTAAGAATTTTTCTGTAGTGATTGTGTTTTGTTCTAGAAAAAGGGAGGCCGATACCTGGTAATGTCCTTATTGAACAGAGAACGAAGAGTAAAGACTAGATAATAGATAATTCTAATTTTGATTTACGTGATTGAATGGGGCGTTATAATTGAAAGTTATCATTGAAACTCATTATGCCCATCATTACAAATCATGATTTAATCTGATGAGAATGAATTATGTCATGAAGAAATTTTGCAATTTTTTTATTGAACTTCACTCACTCTTTGATGTTCGCCTTGAAAACTTCCAGTCATTCTTTTCGTGTGATGAAAAACACTTAACTGTCACTTTTCCACAGTAGATTCGTTAGCACTTCACTTTTCTACACCAACCAGCAAGGCATAAAAACTACGGAATATAAGAATCGAAAATTAAAAAATTTCAGGTTACGGTCTATTTTTATATACCTGTTCAAGTGCAGCGATTGTTTTTCCGGACTGAGGAAAGTGAGAGTTTTTTAGGTGATTGCAGGTGGACGACTGCGTTCAACGGTTCGACGGCGTTAAGCTATCGACTCTTCTATTTCCTGCTTCTCGGTGGGGATTGGGAAGTGTTGGGCACTGACAGACTGTGCTACGAAGAATTTCGCACGTAAGACTTTTTATAATTGAAGGCGACGTTTTCTTCAAGAATCAAGTTAACGTGCGGTAACTTTTATTTGGATAACGACGCCGCGTTTAATTAGTTGCAGAGTGAGTCAACAAGCATCCTTCGGTCCATTACTATCAGGGAAATACATTTTTCGAATTGCTCAATTTTTTTTCTCATTCATATTGAAAGACTATCTTTAAAAATTATTTTATCGCATACTGGGTGATTCAGCCGGCCGTGGCCAACCAAAGTTATATTTTTTAGGAGTATATGAATGCGTCATTCGATTCCATATTTTTTTAGCTTCCTAACAAATTTTTGTTTTCGAATTTCCATTGCGGCATTGCCAAGTTTTTCTAGAAAAAACTATTTTGCAGAAAATATTATGTCGCATATCCCTATTTTAATGGCTCGTTAGCGGCGTCCTCAAGGGATATAGAGGGTAGACATATCTCAATGATTTTGTGGGTGAATTGCAGTCCTATTTGCTTGAGACGACTATGTTGCTTTCTTTGATGAAGCGACATGTTTGCATTCTTGAAATTATTTTACTGTCAGACATTACTGAACGAACTATAGTATAGACACGCCTGAAGAAGCTACTGTAAACCGAAACACAAGTTGCGGTTTTGTGAACTGTGTAGTGAAAATCTCACAATAAAGTGTTTCTTAAATACAGGGAAACCTTTCTCCTGAATCAACCATTGAATTGTGAAAACTATATAAAATTCCTTCTGTACTTTTTGAGTTTATCACGTTCAGAGTGACAGACACGGCGTCGGACTATAATCCATAACATATAAATTCATTGATGACATTATACCTAAGTTCACAAAAATACTAAAACTATTTTTTATCTCACCTACCTAATTAGTTATCAAGTTTTGTGGAATGACATGGAGAACATTCCTTTCAACATATTATAATCAATTCAGTTCACTAATATATTATAATGTTCACAAATTTTTGTGGTGTAAACGATTTCACGTAGTGTTATCATGAATCCAATTAGTATTTCTGAACAGCAGAATATGCGGTTTTGTTAATCATCAGGAACATCATTCAAATAACAGTAAGTGAATCTGAGGATCACAAGATAAAATATAAACAATCATAAATGCTGATTATGAAATACCTAATAACTATTCCAACTCATGTTTCCAAAATGTTTATATTTGTATTTTATGACATCAAAGATGGGTTACAGATCATTTCTATTCTTCATTGTTACATTGAAACAGCCAGAGTATTAGGAACCGCACCTAAAAAGATGAGACATCGTTAATCTTCAGCTTGCAAGCTGTGCCTTCTGAGGATTGTCGTTCGTAAAGAGGCGACAGCTCAATCAAAATGATTTTAAAGATTTTTTAAGAAATGGTAGATATAAAATCAAGGAGTTCTGGTATTGGTTCATTCTATTAGGAATATATCCACACTATGTTCATGCCAAAGAATTATGTTATTGAAAAATTGCGTTCATTGTACACATTCAACGCCAGAACCACAGTGAACAATGACTGCATGAATATTATAACAGTGGTCTGCTAGGTTGAAATGTTCATCTATTTCGAACCTTCCAAAGAGTTTCTCGCTTCCGTTAGAGGTTGAGTCTTGTTTGAAAATCATCAGTGTTATTATTAGATTGACTGGTCCCTCAGCTATACTTGTTTATTTATAACAGTCAGTTAGTTTGGCGCATCTTTGGCAATACAGTCGATCATCACCTGTTAAAAAATCTATTTTCGGATGATTTGACAATAACCTTTGCACGGACTGGTTATAAGTCATATCAGGAAACGCTAGATGAAGTTCCAGAAATCCACATACGTTTTCGCTACCTCTTGAACATTTACTACGAAGTAAACAAGTGCGGATTTTTCCAGCAAAACATTTACAAATACAAGACGAGATGGACTGTAAGGAATCATTCAATTCAGAGCGGTCAGGAGTATTGATTTTACTATTGTTTTGTTCATGAAGAGTATTCAACAAGAACCCCAAAAATTTGGAAAAATCCTCTTGTTGTCCTAACGAGTATCTAGTGGACTTTAAAGATTCCAGGAAATCGGTTGGAGGGAAAGATGATACATTCTCACGAAACTGCAGCTGCATGAACAGGTGTTTGAGTTTGATGGATAAGTAGGAAACATCCCGTTCTCGTTCATCATTAAAACCTCGTTCTTGAAATTCTTCGTCATGAACAATACTTCTAAAATGCTATTCATGTAGCAAGTGTTTCCTAAATTATCCAATCCAATTTTCTTCTCTAGATTTTCAGGACAACTCTCTACTGATTCGTAAGGAGGAACATGTTTCACAGAATCTCCATAAGAACCATTTCTCAAGCTGCGATCGATCCTTCCAAGTGAAGAAGGGTTTCGTAGAGGGATCGATTCGGCTCTTGCTTCATGAAGCTCTCCCACTGAAAGGTCACCAGAACTAAGAGGAATGCAACTCATGTTTTTCAAACATTTTGAAAACAGTTATTTTATCAATCCTGTAAAATACAGACGTCGTATCACAGCCAGTTATTGCGTGTAAAAATATTACATGATTTTGACACTTTGTAAAAGTAGATGAACTTTTTGATGAATATATTTCCGATTGATATTGAGCTTTTCCTGGTTTTAAGAAGAAAATAGTTTTTTCAGTTGGAGTTCGAGCAGTAAGTAATACAAGTTAGTCTACATCTTCACCAACAACAATAGTTGTATTTGTCAAATTGAATTGCTCTATTGCTATCACTTTGTATATTTTATATTATAAGTGTAAGTTATAATGACCGATAGAAAAATATTTTAACATATATTACAACTAGAGATGTATATATGTGGCGTACTCGTGCATATTATGACGATTACAACTTTTACAACTTTTTGAATCGTTATATCTCAAAAACGGTGGTTCATAGGAGAATAAGTATCGATATATTTTCTGTAGATAATTTTATAATCTACAATTTGTCTGAAGTATTATATGATAAAACTTACCGTTTTGCTGAAAATCGCGAAAAACTCATTTTTTTGATCTTTCACCTTGAATAAAAATTTTTCCACACAGGGAAAAGATCGTGAACTTTCAAATGTTATTCTTAATCATATTTCAAACAATCTTACTGATTTTTAGCTTGGTGGGAAATTAGGTATCTTTACTCTTATTTTTTGGTCTAATTTGACCGGACTATATATGACAAAAATTAGAAACTAGGAGTATCGACAAATTCACCTTATATCTGTATTTGATGATGCATTTCTTGGATTTCTGACTTCAACCGGCATGTGCATCATCATGAAACCGTTGAAACGTTTAACCTTTTAAAGTTTGATGCAGTAGTTTTCTTTTAATCGGATTAAGGAACACCGCCAGTATATTTATCCACTTCTCTTAGGCAAGATTGGAGAAAGTATTAGATAATAAGTGAAGTGTTTTGCATGAAGGTATGCTTATAGTGAAATAGTTAATGAAATAATAATCGGTAAGAAAGTAGCCTGACGATTTTATGTTATATAATTCTCAATAACAAAGTTATTTGTTATGCCGGTTCATATTCTCATAAGAGAAAGAGGCAACAAAACCTTCAAAATCATTCAAAAAGTTAATGTAAAAAGTTGATTATCAACTCAATTTGTTGAGAAATACTTTGAATTCCATTAGTTTGGACTTCCATCGTCTGATATTATATAAAATGATTTTAAATACCCGAAATAACTAAAAAGGAAAATTGAAAAAAAATTAAAGAAGAATAATAAAAATGACTAACTGAAAAATAATTATATCAAGCAAAAAACCTGAAATGAAATATAGTGAAGTGAAATACAAGTAAAAATCAAACAAATTGAAAAAAATATAAAAACAATAAAAATTAAAAAGTTAAGATATTCCAAACCAAGTTAATTCATTACGTTTCGATTGTTAGTATCCACAATCGTCTTCAGGTGATGACCCCGAAGACGATTGTATTTTAGTAGCTTGTTTTTCAAATAAAAATATTGGCGGCAACTTTNACGGCTGAAATTTTATACGACCAAACAAAACAAGGAAGAAAGTTTAGCAGAATGTTATTTTTTTACAACTTTGCTGCCCTCCCCTTTCTTTTCGTCTTTCTCAAATTGTCAGAATACTGGAATATACACTTTTCAGCAGGTAATTAACTCACCCTACCTTAATCTGACACGCTCAAGAATTTCTGATGATCAATTTTTTTTTACTAATCTGATCCTTTATCCCTCACAGGCGGCCTTACATATGGGGCTCATATTTGGTGGAGGTACTTATACGGGTACAAGGTATCTCCCTGTATATTAATCTGCCGCGCTTTAGTAAATCCTGAAATCCCTGCTTGGGCTCCCCTATTATATCTATAATACCAAATAAAATGTTAAAAAAATCCAAAGAAGTCATATTCCATTCGCCACCTCAATTGAAAACTAATTATAGGTACGACACTGGACGTAATCCAATAGTAATTCAGTTGGGAGAGTCTATATCTGAGCGATAGCTCGCCATCACGTTTGGCGCTTGGTGTAAATGTAGTTAACACTACAATTTGGAAATAAAAAGTCGATGTTTCATGTTCATGTTTTAATCTTATGATAAAATTTAAATTCGTAATTAAAAGAAAAAAAATATAATGGTTTTTATACTTTGGTGAAAAATAAAAATGAAAGCGGTAATTTGGTGTAGATCAAATATATTTTTTGAGAAATTTTTTTCTGTTGAAGATGATGTTTTCCAGATGGTTCGGAGAGGTTAAGTCGTCCCTGAATATGAGGCTAAGAATGTAGTAGTGGACACCTTTGATATACGAAAAGAAGACATATTATACCATCATTCTTTTGAATACGACTTCCGCGGCCGGTTTCAATTATATTGATCTTTTTGAGGTTGTTGATTGTCGTTCATTTTTAGGAA